TTTTCTTTTCGTCCATTTTTATTTTAAGATGCTGTTCTGTTTAAGGATTCCTCTCAGGAGATACAATGTAGTCCCTAGGACAACGATTTCACTTGTTTGGTCTTCTTTACTTGTTTCCTTTTTTTTTTGATTTCTTTAAATAAAAAGTTTAAACTAAGATGGATTTTGAGAAACGGTTCGAAACCATGCAAACATATGATCTCGATCGAGACATTTAGCGATGCCAAAAATCAGTTCCTCGATACCGGCGGGGGGTTTAGTAACACCAAAGCCTTTATCAACGTACTCTTTGCTATTGACCATCGCCACCAGAGCGACACGATTGTAATAAATGATATTATCTTCTTTCTTTCGCTGGATGTCTGGATGAACAGTATTCAGAAGTCTACAGAACTCATTGACGATGTCTTCCCGATTTCTACCAGCCCACATATTCGTGCAGACAAGAGCACAAAAAATATTCTTACGATGACACTCAGAGGCTAGCCACGCGACATGATCTAATACGGCGAACGAACCCGGCGAGGCACAATAAATCATGCACAACGGCTTAGTTTGTTCGATCAATGACCCCATGTAATTACGCACATCATTTTCATTCCACGATTCGATACCGGGCGTATCCCAGATGATAGTTTCATAAGTTGACTGACCATTTGAACTTTAACATGAATACCGGTCAATTTTCTTTGTCAGCGAATTTAAACTTGCACTCGACTTGGCAAGCGTTTGCTGACAGATTGCATTAATAAGAGTACTTTTACCGACGCGGGACGAACCACAGAGAAGAATATTCGATTGGTGAAGATTGCATGCCATGAACTATTTTTCTAGAAGCTAGAACAGAAAAATTACAGACATCGCTTCGAAAAACAGCAAAAACCGAAGACAGTTTGATTTTTTTGAGCTGTTAGTCGCGGAAAATTTCAAGGTAACGAAGCAATTTCAGTATATATTGGTAATTGCTAACGTCAGTGAACGTTCTGTTTCAAGAATCTGTCACCTCGAAATTGTGATTTTTCTTCAAAACTTCAAACTTCCGTTTTTATGTTATTTTATAGTCCGAACAGTCCACTTCAAAACAAATATTAGTTTTTAAAAGAATCGTGCTTTTTAGTCTAGAAAATTTCGTGATTAGGCATCAGCTTCTTCTCCGTCATCTCGAAGGAAAATGTGCACGGTAAAAGATTCGATTGCAACGATGTATCGCACACAATTCCTTGTTGAACTTACTCACTGGAATCAGTAGATCGTAGCCAACAGATAACGATCGACAGACTTCTCCTAAGGAAGTTCATCTTCGAAGTGGCCCATCTCTAAGAACTTGTTCAATATACTAACGATCAACTCCCAGTTACTCGGCTATATAGACACCGAGAAACGTTATGGTTCACAAATGAAACTCAGCAGTGAGAGCGGAGAAAAGATAACTCATTTGTGAGACTCGAGTCATGCACCTTCTGCGCAATGAGCAGACCTCTCAGTATCTCTATACCAGAAAGGACATCTTCTCTTTGTCTTAGAACGGAAGGGAAACACCATGATCCTAGCAGACACATTTCTCTTCACATGTGTAGTCTCTCTAAGACAGTTCTTTTTCTCCAAGAGTAGAAACGTCAGATAGAATAGTAGATCGGATGATGTATAATCTAACAATGAAAGTTAAAATATCTTTTTTCTCGTCTCCAATCCTCACCTTCGTTGTTTCACTTGTCACAAGGACGCAACGTCGTCAAACAAAAAACAGAACCCACAGTTTGCTTGTGCAGAAAGAATAATAACAGTCAGCTTCCTTTTCTCTCTTCGTTTATACAAAAGAAATTCTCTTTGTTCGAAACAGAGAGTAGCTGATGACGATGGCGTAGCTTTCGCTCAACAGTTGAATAGTAGAAAGAGTAAATATTTGGCATTGTGCGTCATACTCGACTACTCGTTTTTTTCTTAATGGACAGAACGCGTAAAAGAATCTCATTTTACATAATGACTATTTTGTGCGCAATTTGCTGAGAGACAGTTGATGAGTGCCTTCGAATGTCAGAGCCCAACAAAGCAAAAACTAGAGTCATTTCATTGCCATTATTACTCTGTAAATTTCCATGAAGCAAATTCACGATTTTGATGACTCCGATTTAATCAAAGTTATGACACTACTTTTGCATCATTGTCATTACATGAATTTGATTACTCTGGTTTAATCAAAATTATGCCATTACTTCCAGTGCTTTTCCAACAGTTTCACTTCATGAATTGGATTACTCTGAGTGATTCAAAGTCAGAACATTACTTTCGTGAATTTTCCATCATTTTCACTGTATGACTTTGATTTACTTCGAACACACCAGAAGCACTATGCCACAATTTGCGTAAAACTGTTTCCATCATTTCGATTTCTTTTAAATATTTTAAGAATATAATGGGGCTTTGTACGACATTGGATAAATTATATTTCTTAAAATATATACATGACTTCGTAAATTTTTCTATTTGTAATCAACAGTTAGACGTTTCGATTGCAACGTGTAATCTTCTTCAGTAAAACATAAAATAAAATTTCAACATAAAATGAATAAAATAAAATGTATATATACAAAAATAATTCTCTTTATTCGAAGGATACAGAAACTGAAGGATACAGAAACTGATTCCAATTCGAAAAAGATTGAAGAATTCAAGAATTTAGAAATAACATATTTTTATAATGGGAGATAATTTGAGTAAGTCAATAATCGTTTTAACGACGGCTTTGAATTTCTCAGACATAGATTTATGCTTATTTTGATAATTAGGCAGCAGTCTAATACACGTATCGAAACATTGACAATAAATGTTAGAGAAAAAGACATAAGCTATGTCTGAGAAATTCAAAGTCATCTAAACGATTATTGACTTACTCAAATTACCTCCCATTACAAAAATATGTTATTTCTAAATTCTTGAATTCTTCAATCTTTTTCGAATTGGAAAAGGATGCCTTCAGTTTCTGTATCCTTCGAATAAAGAGAAATATTTTTGTATATATACATTTTATTTTATTCATTTTTTGTTGGAATTTTATTTTATGTTTTACTGAAGAAGATTACACGTTGCAATCGAAACGTCTAACTGTTGATTATAAATAGAAACCTATTTTGGCAAGTAACAGTTTAAAACTACAAAGAAAAAATGTGATTTAGTTTGTTTGAAAACATGTAAACTAGAGAATTTGTTACCAAACTTCGTTCAATTCAAAGTCTCTATCACATATCATCGTCATCAAACAGTAATACAAAGTTGTTATCGAGAAATTCTAAAGAATGAAATGAAATTAAAATTAAGAAGAGACAACTATCTCAGTGTTATCATATGTGCAATAACTTAAAGTCCTTGATACGAAATGATCTAAATTCAATTGCAATGGCTAGAGTATTCTCAGTTATAAATGAATTAACAAGGGAAAAGGAGATTAACTGGGAAGCCATTCATGTGAAGAAACTAGATATGTTAAGAACACTTCATAAATTACCAATTAAACGCACAGTTACTTCCATTGATGCGATCAAGAATTTTTCAAATATGATCAGCATATTTACGTAGATTTTCTTTTAAATCTCAAGACAAATAATTTTTTCTTTGACTTGAGTAGACAGTCACGTACAGCAACTTATACACAAAACTATTACAATAACTATAGATGCACACAATGAGAGAAATCGTTCAAGAAGAGAAGAGAAAAGGCTGAGAAGTCAATTGGAAGATAGTACATGATATGTTACCACGAGTCTACGTTCATGATATTTATGATTTAGCATTATAGTGATGAATTTTCAGAGACTTTCAGTAGTTCTATTTAGAAAAGGCGAAATAAACTTTTTGACCTGATGTAGGAACCCAATGG